GCCGCCATTGCACACGTTTAATGCGTTTGGCGCAGCCGGGGTCGGTGGGCACTCGACGACCCGGGTATAGGGCGAGTGGAGGGGGCGGGGCCTGGAGCAAGGGGCGGGGCCTACGCGGTGGGCGGGGCCCCGGCTCACCCGCCCGTCGGTGCTGAAGTGGACGCGTGGTGCTGGCGGAGGAGGAGGAGGAGGAGGAGGAGGAGGAGGACTCGGCTTCGGAGGTCGGAATTTCACATTTGGAGAGGAAATTATTATTTTATTTTTGAATTTTAAATTTGGAAAGAAAAAAATTTTTATTTATTTTTGTGATTTTTAATTTGGAAACCAAAAATTATTATTTTTTTTAATTTTAAATTTGGAAAGAAAAAGCTTTTAGTTTTTTTTTTGAATTTTAAATTTTTATTTATTCTTTTTTTTTTTTGAAATTTTTGGAATTTTAAATGTTAAATTTCAAATTTTAAATTAGAAAAAAAAACATTTTTTTTCTTTCGGTGGTCGTGGCGCCGGAGGAGAGACATTGCCGGGATTTCGGTGGGAAAATCGTTTTAATTTTTGGGGGAAAAAATTTTTTTTTAGATTTTATTTTCTTATCGGTGTGCGTGACAGGTGAGGATTCGGGAATTTTCTGGGATTTTGGTTTAAATTTTTAATTTTCTCTTTCGGGGTGAAGAACGTGAATTTTTTTATTTCAATTGGAATCGGAATTTTTCAAAATGCGGCGATGGGAACCGAACCTGGGCGTTTCTGCCTGGAATCGGCGGCGGTGAAATTGGAAGTTTTGCGTTTTGGTGGAAATTTGGAGGCGTTTTCTAGAATTTCGGTTGGAGCCGGAGCCCGGGTGTGTTATTTATTTTTATTTATTTTGGTTTTATTTATTGTTTTTGGTTTTTTTTCGGGGATGCGCGAAAAAGTGGCAGCGTCCGTTCTTTTTTATTTAAAATTTGGTGGAAATTTACCCGCCGAAAAATCAGAATTTGTTTCTGGAATGGCGGAGGGGAATTTTGAAAATTTTTTTATTTTAACGTCTACGGAAGCGACGCCAAGGGAGCCCGGGGAGAAAAATCATTTTTATTTTTCACGGAATCCTCCGGAAAAACCACACTCGGGCCGTTTTCCGGGAGTGGAAGAAAAAATTTCAAAATTTTATTTTAATTTTTATTTTAATTTTCATTTTATTTTAATTTTGGTGCCAAAAATGAAAACTGCGGAAATTTCCTGGAGCCAAGACGGAAAATTTCCTCGACTTTATTTCATCAACGACGGAAAGCAAGGCGGATGGTGACCCCGGTGCCACGTGCCGTGCCGACGCCGACCGGACGCGAACCACGTTTCGCGGTGACTTTTTTCAGGCCCCGCGGCGCCGGGAACCGAACCCGGGACGTTGATGCTGGAGAAAAATAAAAAACAGGACAGAAAAACTGCAAAAAAAAAAAAAATTATAAATATATAAAAAAAAAAAATTTTAAAAATCCGATTTAGAAAAACAAAAAAAATAATTTCACCGGACGCCGCGGCCCTGGCGCGCGCGGTTCCGGCCTGGACTCTATTTAAAGCAGACTTTGTACAAAAAAAGAGAAAATGTAATCACTCGCAGAGACGCTGTCTATCATCCTGGGGGGCGGGGAAAAATATTTGGGGTGGCGGGGACGGGGAAAATGCGAAAAAGAAATTTTGGAAAAATCCGGTTTTCTCGCCGTTTTCGGTTCGATCGCCAAGGACGCCGCGCGTGGGGGTCGGGGTTGCGTGTGCAGACGTTGCAATTTTAATTTTGAAATTTTTTGCAAGTTTAGTTTTAAACTTTTTGCAATTTTCATTTTAAAGTTTTTGCAATTTTCATTTTAAAGAAGTTTTTGCAATTTTAGTTTTAAAAATTTTTGCAATTTTAATTTTAAAGTGTTTGCCATTTTCATTTTGAAGTTTTTTGCAATTTTCATTTTAAAGTTCTTGCCATTTTCATTTTAAAACGTTTGCAATTTTAATTATTTTAAAGTTTTTGCAGTTTTAATTTTAAAATTTTTGCAATTTTAATTTTAAAACTTGTGAATTTCATTTTAAAGTTTTTGCAATTTTACTTTTAAAGTTTTCTTCAGTTTTATTTTGAAAATGTGTGCAATTTTAGTTTTAAAATTTTTGCAATTTTACTTTTAAAGTTTTTGCAATTTTAATTTTGGATTTTAATTTTAAATTTCAATTTAGAAAAAATTTTTTGGTTTATTTCATGTTTACGGTGACCCGGGAGCGTCTGACCTGGGGTCCCCGGACCACGGCGTTGTCCCGGGGAAATTTGGGGATGCGGTGGCGCCCTCCCCGGTCGCGCCACCTCGCCCGTGCGACGCCAGAACGTTCCAGAAAAAAAGAAAAAATTAAAAATTTCCACGTGGCGTTGACAGCGGCGCGCGGCGGCGGCGTGGACCCCGGGCCCGGGGCGTTGCGGTCGGTCACGGCGAGGACGTCGACCGGGGAGAAAATTTTAGGGAAAATAGTCGAGGATTCCGAGAAAAAAAATGAAATTTTTAAAATCACGGGGGAAAAATTTGAAATTAAAAATTTAAATTTTCATGAAATTAAAAATTTAAATTTTCTTTTTTACCCCCCCCCCCGGGGACTGGGGGACGGGTGGGGGGGGGCAGAGTTTCCGGTGCGGGCGGCGATTTTCACAATAAACCACGGCGGTGATTTCTACGGCCGCGCCTCGGCCTCGTCCTTCCCCGCGGGGTCGCGGGTTCGGGTCCCGCCGCGGGGTGGAAATCATTTTCATTTCCGGTCATCGCCAGGGCAACCGGGTGGCGTCCGCTGTGTCCGTCCATTTTATTTATTTTCATTTGTTTATTTGTTCATCGTTCGTCATTTATGGTTTATATGTGATTAATTATCTATTTATTATTTATTAATCGTTTTGTTTATTTATTTAGTAATTTATTATTTACTTATTATTTATGTACCTATTTATCATTCGTTTATTTGTTTATTTATCATTTATTAATTAATTTATTATTTATTCACATATCTATTTTTATTTGTTTATTATTAATTATTTATTTACTTAGTAAACAAATAATTAATAATTTATTTTAATTTATTACTATTTATTATTCATCATTTATTATCATATTATTGTTTATTAATTGATAATAATTTATAATTAATTACTAACGACTATTATTTATTAATTAATAACAATTAATATATTATTTATTGTATTATTATATTATTTATTAATTATTTATTTCTCAACTGTTTTTATTTATTCATTATTTGTTATTTGTATTCATGTTTCATTTATTTATTTATTTGTTATTCATGTATTATTTATTGATTTATAATCATTGTCATACATTTATTATTTATTATTAATTCGTTGTTTATTATTCATCACGTCTATTAAACAATTTATTATTTATTGTTTATTCATTATTTATTAATTTATTTATTATTTATTCATTCATTCATTAAAGGCAGTCGTTTGCTCATTCATTCATTCCTGTGTTCGTTTTTCTTTAATTCATTAAAATGAGCCGTTCATCCATTCATTCATTCGTTCATCCATCCATTCATTTGTTCACCGTGTGACGTCATTTCCAGCCCCCGGTGTTGGTCCCGTGGGAGGTGCGGCCAACGTCGGTCCCGTTCCCCGGGGCACAGGTGCCCGTCACGGCGGCCACCGGAAGTCCCGCCCAGTTCTGGACGGTTCAACAGGGCAGAGCTGTCAATCATGTGTGTACACGGGAAGTCCCGCCCCTTTGTGGACGATTCAATGTGGAACAGCTGTCAATTAGGAAGTCCCGCCCCTTTCTGGAAGATTGAGTGAGGCACGTTTGCCAATCATAAGCGTAATTGGGAAGTCCCGCCCCATTCTGGAATATTCAGTGGGGCACAGCTGTCAATCAGAAGCACACACGGGAAGTCCCGCCCCTTTCTAGAAGGTTCAGAGAAGCACGGCTGTCAATCATGTGTGGACAAGGTAAGTCCCGCCCCTTTGTGGAAGATTCAAGGGGCACAGCTGTCAATCATCAGCACCCACGGGAAGTCCCGCCCCTTTGTGGAAGATTCAATATTGCACAGCTGTCAATCACGTGTCCACACGGGAAGTCCCGACCCTTCCTGGAAGGTTCAGTGAGGCACAGCTGTCAATCATAAGCACTCACAGGAAGTCCCACCCGTTTCTGGATGATTCCTGTTGGGCTACACGTGTCAATCATGTGAGGAGACGGGAAGCCCCGCCCCGTTCTGTACGGTTCACTGAGGCACAGCTGTCAATTATAAGCATACAGGGGAAGTCCCGCCCCGTTCTGGACGATTGAGTGGGGCACGCGTGTCAATCATGTGCGCAGGTCCATCCCATCATCTCCTCTTCCGTCTGTGTGAAGACGCCGAGCAGGGAACTCTGGGAAATGTAGTTCTGAGGAGGAAGAGAAAGGCATTCTGGGAAATGTAGTTCTCCTCGTGTCGTTCTGATGACGCGGAGAGAGGAACTCTGGGAAATGTAGTTCTCAGGACAGAAAGCAGTGGATTCTGGGAAATGTAGTTGTCATGACGTGGAGCATAGCATGCTGGGAAATGTAGTTCTGACGTCACGGAGACGGAAACTCTGAGAATTCTGGGAAATGTGGTCCTGGGGACGCCGCGGGGCACTGTGGGAAATGTAGTCCGTCATTTCTTCTTCCTCCTCCTCCTCCTCCTCCGTCATTTCTTCTTCCTCCTCCTCCTCCTCCGTCATTTCTTCCTCCTCCTCCTCCTCCTCCGTCATTTCTTCTTCCTCCTCCTCCTCCTCCGTCATTTCTTCTTCCTCCTCCTCCT